CTAGAGACAGTTGAGTTCAAAATTTTCAGTTTCGGACCCAGCTCCTACAACAATCGAGTGGACTATAGTTTCATCTGCTTATGGAAGAAAACGATAAGAAACAATTGTGATATCTGTGAATGCATTCTATCTTAATCCATGTACATATGTTGGAGATCACAGCGATCTAGTTCATATATTTCTTACAGAATTGTCAATAATACATGTTGTTACGTCTACTATCACACAAAAATAGTTATTTTATTTCACATTAGACTGATATTTACATTCAACTTACTATACACACTGATTGGAACAAATTAACTAATAGTGACACAATGATTATGTTAAGAATAGAAAGTAATTCGAGTATTGTCTGTACGGCTCACGATATATTCATCAATTTACTATTTTTTTTTCAATTTAATATGATGTTCAAAGGAAGTTTTTTAATTACGATTAACAAAAGTACACTCCTTCTTTGTTATCTATGTGTCACTATCGAAATAAAATGACATTAGAAGAAAAGAAAAGATAACATTGTCTATAGAAAATATTGTGCACATTTAGATGAACTCATTTTTCTTTCGCAGTGTAAGATCTTTTTTATTATTTCAATATTACTAACTGAAAGTTTGCTCTCGAACGCCTACAAGATAAGAATAGGCGTCATGCAACATAGTGAGTAAGCAAAACAAAAAATATGATAATATGTGTTGTTTTCATCATGTTAAGGTTTTGATAAGAACTCTAATCATCAAAATAAATATATAAGTACGACAAACACCTTCATCATGTCACACGAGGAGACAATAACAACACAACAGTATGATTAGTCAATCTCCACTCATCTTAGTCGTGTTATGTTTTTTTCTTAATCAATATTTAGTACAAGCATCAATATATTCATGTAACACGACTGCTCCATGTGGTTGCTCAAGAAATCCAGTTGTTATTAATGCCAGAATTGTCGGTGGTGAAGTAGCTGCTAGTCATAGTTGGGGCTGGGCTGTTTCATTACGGAAGTCATACAGCAGACATTTTTGTGGTGGTTCGATTCTCTCTCGATACTATATAATTACAGCAGCACATTGTGTCGATGATATTTATCTTTCAATAGACGAATTAACAGTTGTTGTTGGTAGAAACAATCTCCTTGATGATAATGGACAAAGAATAGTTGTATCAAAAATTTATGTACATCCAAAGTGGAATCTAGCTAGACACGAAAATGATATCGCTATTCTTAAATTAAAAAGAGCAATCTCTTTTAAAGATGAAAATGTTGCTAAACTTTGTCTACCATCTTTAAATGGCATTGTAGAAACTGATTTTCCATTGACAAACTCACAACTTGTAGGTATTGGTTGGGGATATACAGTACCACATGGTTCTGTATCATACGATCTCAGACAAGTGACAATTGAAGCTGTTGATAATCGAGAACCCAAATGTAGCAATTCTATTACAAATAAAATCACCCAATTTTGTGCAGCTGCCAATGGTGGAGGCAAAGGTAATTGAATATTATTATGCGACAAAAACAGTGATTTTATTTCTTGTCTATAGATACATGTCAAGGTGATTCAGGTGGTCCATTGATGTATTACTCAGATATTTATGAACAATGGGTGCTAGCAGGTATAACATCTTTTGGTAAAGGATGTGGATTGAGTGCTCATGCTGGTATTTACACCCGAGTTACTATGTATATCGATTGGATTAAATCGATTGTTGGTAAAGATGGCATGATGATTGTCGGAGAAAATTCTGCTAATGTTAGTACTATGTCAACTATGTTTTGTATTGCAACACTTTTATTTTCATTTATAATGAGTTCCTTTTAATCCAAAATAAAGTTTTGTATTAATTATGTAATAGTTATAGCTTTAAATTATCCTGACGAAATTATCTTTTCGAAGATTTTCACACCTTTTTGTGATCGAAATCATGTTCATTTAATAAGTACTAGTTAGCGCTAGATAAGTCTTTTATGATTTGTTTTTTTCTGGCTTTCGTTTTAGAGAAGATACGGATATTTTAATATAGTTTTGACAAAAAGATGTAGCTTCTCCTGAGTTACGTAGATAATCGGCTTTTGAGTTTCGACTTCAAACTGTGCATGATCGAAGATCAAAATCAGACTAGTTGTATGTGTAAATTTTAGCTTTTCCATAGTTTTTTTTCTGAGAATGTAAATATTGGAAGACGCAAAAATGATTGTTGCATGATATTCAAGCGTTTTAGAAGCCTTTCTACTGCACTTCTCATAGACATTATTCTGAAACTATCAAAAGATAGTTGATGCGTATGAGCACCAGTGCCATATAAAATTAGGTCTTAAATATTGTTCGATAAAATGAAAATATTTCATCTATCGGCTAGTGAGGACTTTTCGGCAAGCTTACTACTCATTGTACACTGCTCAAAACACATACATTTTTGAGCAGCCAAAACGACCTTTCTTACAATGATTTTTTGTGTGTAGTATCTGTCACAATACTGTCATACCAGATGAGAAAATCATTGTAAACGACATGAGCAGTAATAACCTGCATTGCAACATTACATTCAAAGACAACGTCCAGCTCAGCGAACGATTCTGAAGGAACAATCGGTCATGACAGGAGAGTCACAAGAAGTTGCAATGAAGCAGAATAATGTAATGGTATCGGTACGGATGGATGTGGGTGTAGATGAACATTAGAACCACATCCACACCTACACAATGTAAATCCTACCTACCCATACCCAAAACACGAGTAGGAATTGTTGTATTGTAAACTTTTTACAACAATTAATAAAATAAGAAAAAATGCCAGAAAGAAAGGAACATATAGGAGATTCAATTGGCCCACTACCGTTTTCTTATCGCTAGATGCAACGAATTCTACAGCAATCAAAGTATGTAACTTGCCAAAATTAACATTTCTGTGGAGAGTTCATTAAATTTTGATAGAATGGATGGTAGTCACACTGTGCTTGTTGGTCACTAATATGAATAAATAATTTGGGTATTCTAGCTTGTTTGTTGCTAAGAGTAGTCTCTTTGCTTTTCATCTTTTTTTTTTTTTCATTATTTTATTAGTGTAGCTGGTCATCGATGTTTTTTTTAATTCTTTCCATTCTTTTGTTGACAAAAATCTCGTCAAAACAATGGGTTGTCATGCAGTCTGAATTATAAAATAACAAATGTCGCTCACATGCTTGTGAAAAGTTTTGTTTTTGTCGACGAAGCAGAGTTGGAACCGATCCGGACAAGACCGGACAAGAAGTTAAACCGGGCCGGACAGAACCAGATTTTTGCCAGTTCATCATTACAAAATTGTTGTTTGCATCCAAGAATTTTTCCTACTAAAAATGGTTTTTTTATGATATTTTCAAGTCAGAAGAATGTGTTTGCGAAAGACTCAATAGATATTTTATCTTCGACTTGACGAGAAACGATTGATTGTTCTCTTTATATCTCTATCGATTTCTTTCTCGTGTATCGCTCAATTTAACCTTGATCAAATAATTTATTCTCTTGTTCTACTTAGGCATCTGCCTGAATCAAGAAAAATAAAAATTTACATTTTATGTTAGATATGTTATAAACTTGCTTCTTTTTCTTTTTTGAAATTAAGATAAAAAACAGATTTGTTCTGAATAGCTAATTTATATCGATGTCGGGCTCGAAAAGTCGACGCACCTTGCTATAAAATATGAAGGGAGAGTTTCAGTCCCAAGTTTTAGTTTCCAGTTCGGAGTAAGGGTGGCGATTTGCTGTTAATTTATTATAATTTTAAATTGGATTTACATAAATTTAAATTTTTTAAAATTATTTAAATTTATTTCAATCCAGTTTAAATCAGTATAAATTCAATGTAAATTCATTTAATTGGATTTAAATCCTATATGAATTAATGTAAATGGATTTAAATCCAATTAAATGAACTTAAATTGAATTTTATTTGGTTTAGATTGAATTCATATTAATTTAAACTGGATTGAAATAAATTTAAATAATTTTACAAAATTTAAATTTATGTAAATCCAATTTAAATTCGAAATAAATAAAACTTTTTAAAATTTATTTTTGGATTTATAAATTTTTCGTAAATGTAAATTGATCACCCCTAGTTGGGATTTCTGCATGTGAATATTCAATTCCCCTTCGCCAACATTTTATGTTAACAGATAATTTTATGGTCGATTATTTTCGGCGGATTTTTGCCAGTTTGGCTGTAAAATTCGTTCGGCCGGTTGCTGACCGAACCGCACAGAAAAAACCTGTCCGGTTCCAACTCTGCGACGAAGAAACACAAAGTTTTTAGAATATAACTGATAAAGTCATTCGTCCATTAAACATTAAACTACTTATTCAAAAGAACATTTTGTCTAGAGAAAACGATAAGTATAAACAAAGCAGTATGACTCTTAAAAATATAGTCAAATATATATTTGTTGCTCATAGCAACTATGAATATGCAAAACAAGCAATGAACCAAGCTCATTGTTTAAAAGCACTTTCTGATGATTTATATACTGATCCAGTTCGTTTCATTTATGAACTCATTCAAAATTGTGATGATGCTTATGATGGACATCCGATGAAAAATCCACTATCACGCATTGCTATCGTCGACAAGAATTATTTGATTGTGGCTCATTATGGAAAACCATTTGATGAAGATTATGTACGAGCCCTCTGCCGTGTTGGTTGTGGAACAAAGAAGCATGGTCGTGAGAAAACCGGCTACAAAGGTTTAGGTTTCAAAGCCGTATTTGGACAATCAGATTATATACTTGTCGCATCCAAAGACGAATATTTCAGATTTGATTCGACAGCTAATGAATTTCAATGGGATCACAAATGCGTGAAAGATCAAGCTACTTGGGAAGCAGTTAATCGACAAAAATTCGAGTATCCATGGCAAATCTGTCCTATATGAACAGAAACTAAACTACTTCCCAAGTCTATTCGACAGTGGTTATTCGGACAACCTGAAGTCGTGGCTCATATTATTCGTCTAAAAAATATGGCGAACGCTCAAGAATCAATTGAATTTTTAATTAAACAACCACATGTATTTATGTTTTTGCGACGTATTCGAGATATTCGTATATCAGTCAATTCTACTATAGAGACCGTGCTGAATGTATCACTATTAAAAGATGGATCCGTGAAAATCTCTTCTAATGATAATGAGATGATATCCCATTGGCTATTACATACATGTAAACTAAATGTACCGAATGAAGCACTCGAAGATAGGCGTTTACCAGAAAAACTTCAACAAACCAAGATTATAGAAATGACGTTGGCGACTCAGATTGATAAAAACGACAGATTTGTACCTATGCGAGGTACTAATAGTGTTCTTTTTGCGTATCTTCCAACGAAAATATCCATTTACAATTTGCCCATTCTCGTCAATTCCTATTTCTTTGTAAACGCAAGCCGAGAACATATACGTATTGATTCTTCCTGGAACCAGTGGCTTTTCTCATGCATTCCGCACGTCACGTTTAAATGGATACAATTATTGACCAAAGATTCGAAATGGACTGACAAAGCTCATGATTTATTACCAAACAGAATTTCAGCCAAAGATATACTTGCTGATCAATATAATAAAAGTTGTATAAGTAGCGTGAAATCAGTTCCATTTCTGCTGGGAGTTAATAAAAGATCACTACTAATTGATGAAGCTATTGTTGATATAACATTGTTTTCATCGACAGGTTGCATTGGACATGAATTAATCCGAGATTTTCTTATACATACATCATCAAAAAAGTTACGCTTAGCAGCAAATCCATTTGTCAATAATAATCATCGTTTGCGAAATCTCGGTATTAAACAATTTACCCGAGAAAACTGTTTTGATATGTTACAATCAGCTTATTTCTTGACGCGTTTTACTCCTGAACGTGATATAGACTTTATTTCCTATATGTTCACTCACCGTGATTCTACACAAATTCAGAAACGTCTTTATGATGTGCCATTTTTGATGGATCAATTTGGTCATCTCCGAAAAGTAATGGAAATCTATTTACCATCGAGATTCAGCAATGCAGATTGGCATATGCCAGATAACAACGATGCATATATTCATCCAATGATCATGAATTGGTTGTTACATCAATCTCAAATCAAAGAATGGCTTCGAAAGCTTGGTATTCATGAGAAAACAGATATTACGTTTGTTGATGATTATATTATTCCACAAGCTGATAGATATATCACGCTAACAAATGCTATTATTACAATCACGAGACTATTTGTTTTGTTTCAGAATGGTTTACTTAGTACTCATCATTTGCATGAATTGGGCAAACTCAAACTATTTACTTTTGGGGGTACTCTTGTATCAGCTTATCGTCTGTACTTTTCTAGTGCTTATTTACCCTACTTGCCATTGGATAACCTTAATCTCGATGAGGATTTATTTTTATGTCCGTCTTATTTAGAAACGGTAGATGGAGTATCAATTGAACAGTGGAAATATTTTTTTTCAATTTTTAGGCGTTCAAGAAAATATTAGTTTGATGAGTTTTGATGAAACACATCATGATGAACTCGTCTCGGCATATATATGTGCTCACACATTAAATCTTCCTCGTTATATGGTCATCTTTGGCTTTAAAAATCGAACGACAATTAAATTTATCGAACTTACACAAGTTAACTATCAATTTGCCATCATTTTCTGGGAACATATCATACGTTCGATCAACGTTAGAGCTTTGAATGAAAATGAGGTGCTATTGAGTCACCGTCGTATTCTGATTAATAATCTTCCTCAATAGTGTGTTCGAACACGTGGATGTATTCAAAGAACTACTAGTCACCTACTACCTAGTAGTGAAGTATTTTCTGGTAATTTACGACCCATTGCTGGTAAATATTTGCGTGTTTTCGTATGCAACGTACGCAATTCTATACCAGACTTATGGCAACAATTTTTTGGTTTTAAAACTGAACTCTCGATTGAAGACTATGAAGTCATTCTGAAATCATGTAATATGGTACGGATGGAAGTGGTCAAACTGACTAACAACGTGATTATGATATCGTAATTTCCAGCCAAAGTGCTGGAACTTATGTATTTCTTGAAAATCACGTTCATCTAATATGTTAAAAATAATTTTGAATTTGGTGACCATATACCAATTGGCTTTACTGGTAAATTGAAACGCTGGTAAATCATAAATTGTTCGGCACTTTCAGGTACTACACTATAACTATAATGTTTCATGCCATCGAACGTTAATGGATATTGCCCTGTGGGATGCTTGTTTAATGAATGTACATACAAATTATACTGATCAATAAAGATTGCCCAACTACCATCAGGTGACGTGGTTTCATTTGACAAAAAGTGATAGAGAAGAACTGAATTTTGTACGGTTAACACTTCTTTTTGATACTTGTTTGTTCGATTTAAGATCAATGGTGTAGATAAGTTCATTTTCAGAAGACTCTTGGATACAATAACGTAAGAATTGACCGAGATTTTCATTATTATCAGATAACCATTCAAGTTGTAAATTTGTATTGAATGTTAGTCGATGAGCATTTCACGGTAATAAATGCTCCACACGTTTGTACCTGTCAAGAAGTGTAATAGCTTGTTGATGAGTATATGAATCTTCTTCCCCAGCATTAATCGATATGATCAAGTGAATATTCGAGAGAGATAAAATGAACCCATAAAGATACATTGTTTAGCTAACTATCTTCATCGAACAACCAAATATGCACCTCCTACTTACACTTCATAGACATATCTTGACAGAAAAGTAAAATTTTCGATTAATAGGACGGCGATTAATATTTATTTTTTGGATTCAAACAGACGTTTATAAGTAGAACTTAGAATATAAAATTTAAAACAGTAATCAAAGTCATATATAAATGTATGGCGAGTACTACTCGGGATAACAATCACAACCGTCGTAAATGATTGTTTACAACTGTATGATACCGTTTAAAGTCGTGAATGGTCGTTTTAGGTGCTTTAATATCCCTTGTATTATAATCGTGTTTTATTGTGTCCTAGACGACTATATAGGGTAGTAAACAGTTGCAAAAGTAAGTGTTCAGCCGTTTCTGCTCAGTGATATACGGTCTTAGTAAGATCAACACCAAAAGGGCAATATATGGGCTGTCTTCGGCTGTATTATAACGTGTACGACCGAGCTTCTCAACTTGATTATTTATAATCAGATTTATTTTTTATAAGGTATTGCTTCTCAACATGCTTGCTATTTACTTTGAAGCTTTTGTGATTGTTAATCCTTCAACCAACAAGACTTTTATTATAACGGTATTTTTCTGTTTTAATCACAATGACATGATGGTCTGATTGAATCACATGTACATGAGTGTGAATGTGAGTCTTCAGTTCATCCATACCCAAGCCATAATATTTCGAATGATCCACACTAGGTGAAGTATCTTAAATTGATTCGTGAATATATGACAAAGAATGATAATATTTTTTCTTTTCGGTATTACTTACCTTGATATTTATAAGTTACATATTGTTATTTTAGATAAGAAAGGTAGTTATAAAAGAAAAGAATCTGAATTCTTGTCATATTTAAGAAAAAACGCACATCGAAATAGGCAGCAACAGTCACGCGATGCTTGTTAAGGTGATGATAAAGATATTGTAGTATACATGATTCAAGGAAGTATCACAATTCTTTTTTTTGCTTCTATCAAATTTAGACGAATCGTGTCGAACCTACTTCTCCTAATGGTTATGCAGATTCAACATCTGTTCAAGAACGACGAACTCATTCATCGTTGACCGGATCTCGACATTCAATCGGTGAAACGATCGAAAAAACTGATTCCGGCATAAATTTAGTACAAGCTGATGAAAAGAAAACTCTGAAGCGACATCTTGGTCTGTTTTCTGGAGTTGCATTCATACTTGGCACGATCATCGGTGACTAAATTTTGTTGATTTCAACCTAATGTGATTTGAAATATTTTTCTATATTAGGCACAGGCATATTCATTTCCCCAAAAGGTGTTCTAAGACAGACACAATCAGTTGGTTTATGTTTGGTGATATGGGCATTATGTGGAATTGTGTCTCTACTAAGTAAGATTTTAAGCTAAAAAAGTGACTCTATCATCGAGTACACATTTATATTCTAGGCGCATTATGCTTTGCCGAAATTGGCACAGTTATTCCGATGAGTGGATCCGAACTGGTTTATATGAAAGAAGGTAACTTTGATATTATTACAAGCATTATAGTTTGAACGTATGAAAAACAAAATTGTAAAACAAATTGTGTTTGAATGCGTCTTCCTTTTATTAAAAGCTAAAAATATCCTTTCATAACATGTTTTCTAGTATATGTTTTATCGGTTTAAAAACGTATTGTTTTTCTAAGACATCTTTGTTCTGTTCACTCATTTATATTCATCTTTTTATCATATCTATACCATCCTAATATATACGTCTCAGTAATTTCTTGACTAAAAGTTCTAAACTTTCAAGGAAACTTATACCGTATTCAACATTGTAAAAGTCGAAGTATTGGCGATATAAAAATGCTAGTTTCATTATTTACATTTGATCATTTTTTACATCGTATAAAATCATTTTAGTATGTCCATCATACTTCGACTTTTTCAATATTCACAATGTTATATCTTTTGTTAGATGTTCAGAATTTACAGTATAGAATCTCCTAAGAAACTTCTAATACGATGTTCTAAATATGATGAAATAATTAATATGGGCAAGTGAATATAAAACATCTTTCATCTGTGATACAACTCAACTGCCATTTTACGATGTATGAAAAAAACATTTTATTGCCAGATGAGTCATAGGACTGTTCTCCCATAGATCCGACTATCTTTATATGAAAACATACTTTTTTTCTGTTCAGACTATATCAGAATGGGTAAAAATATTTGCTCTGTTTGTTCCAAATCAACTTAACTCGAAAAATAATCTAGAAGTAATGAAAATTTCAAGTAAATTTTGAAATATCTGCTAGAAAAGTGTTTTTTTCTTGTAGTATTCCGTGATTTTGATGACATATTTGATACCCGACCATTTTTTGATATCTAGAAGTCGCACAAAACAATGGGTCACTTTTTGCCAGCTATTTTCATTACTTCTTGATTGTTTTTCGAACTAAGTTGACTTGGAACAAACAGAGCAAATATTTTTGCCCATACTGATATATTTTGAACAAAAAACAGTATGTTTTCATATCAATATAGTCGGATCTATGGGAGAACCGTTCTATGACTCATCTGGCAATAAAATACTTTTTTCATATATAAAATTCAATTCAATCGAAATATAAATATGATATCCACAAGTGTATATAATTGATGCGATTTAGAAGATATTTGAGAAAAAAAATTGAAATCTAGAATCTTAACAACTGTCAGACTGATAAAAGTGAACAAAATCGTGAAGAAAAAATGATCATCTGAATACACGTCCTTTTCTTTTTCTTTTTTTCTCTTAACCGATCTGATTTTGTCTTGAGGGTAACTCAATAGGTCTGAGAACTATATCTATAAGGAATATTGTCTTGATAAGCGCTATCTATTAGATAGGCAACTTTAAAGATTGTGAAAGTACAACTGAGATTCACTAAATGGAACTTATTGAAATTGAAGTATAAAAAAATCACTGGTTTTGGTACAATATTTATCATATGAAAATAGTCAATATGACCTAAGTGCGGCTTAAACTGATTATAACAGTATAAGTGCATCAAAAAAGAGATAAGAGACATAAAAAGAAAAGAGAAATCAATGAATTATGTTTTAATACATCAATTTGTTTCTTGAAGGTACAAAATATAGTAAGAAACATACAAGAAATAAAGAAAGGTCAATAAAAATGAAAGATGGTTGTTATCAGTATTACCCGTAAATTGAGTTTGAAGAAAGCGAAAAATATGAATGCTGAAGTGTTTTATTCTTTGAATAAATATTATAAAAAACAGTCGAGCTTTTATACAAAGAGAATCAGTTAATACTCTTTGACATTCAAGGCAAAAAATTAGCAATGAAATATAGAAGCTGGATAAAAATTTAAGTTAATTATTATGATTATAATAAACAAACATGTACTATCTTTTTTTATTCAAAAATATTTCCTGTAAACAGATTCAAAAATAAAAGAAATGTAATGCGTCAAATGTGGAGAACTATAAGTTTTGGCTAGGAATTTCAGAAGCTTTACACAATTAATTATTACATGCAAAAATTTTGACAAAGTTAATACCGCAGTTTCATAATGTCCATGAGTTATCTAGTTTATTCAGGTGATTCTTTTAATCAAAGTAAACTAATTTAATTCTTTGCACATGTCACATTTGTTATACAACTATTTTGTTCTTTGCTTATATCGAAATACATTAAGTTGCGCTGTAGTCATGTTTATTTAGAGAAGAACCCTATTGAAGCGATATAGTTTTTTGTGCCATATCATGAAATGTTTGTCTAAAAATAAGTTTAGTTTTCTAAAGAAAATGTTTTCTTTCAATATACGAATCTAAATATGCATTTCACTTGTATGTGAATTAACTGTTTTTTTCTGAAAAAAATGCACTCCAATTACTTTGCTTTAATGCATCTGTAAGAAAAAAAAAGTCCTTGTTTCCAGTAAAACAACACTAAAAAAAGCGTATTGAAACTCATGAAAGAGAAATCGATAAATGGAAACGTCTTCGAGCAACACGTTAAAAAGCGTTGATTGCAGAAAAAAGCGGACCGTCTGATTAATATATTTAAACAGTGTTTCAAGATGACGCTTCCAGTTGAAAAAAAAGATAGATTAAAATGAAAAAAGACACACTTCAACAAACAAATAGCGCATTATTTCTTCTAACAGTTGGCATCGGATCATTAATTTATACTAGCGAGAACCCGTGCATACTGCACGGATCTTGTGCTCTTTAACGCATGACCTCACACATTTAACTTTTCATCCGGCAAAATACATACAGACATTCGATATTATGTATATAGATAGATAGCCCTACGGCCTCATACTCTCATATCGCACATATGTTTATAGGCAATGTAGCCCTCGACCTTATAGCCTTATATTCTTTGCAGTCTTATCTCCCTATTGCCTTACTCCCTTCAGGGCCTATGGGTATCACAATATAATAGCCCTTGCTGGCCAATCAGTATCCCGCTAGGATAGCCCTTGAGGACCTATGAGTAACCCATAGGATAGCCCTTGGGGACTAATGGGTACCTCCATATAATAGGCCTTGGAGACCTATGGGTACCCCCATAGGGTAACCCTGAAGGACCGATGGGTATCCCCACAGGATAGCCCTTGAGGACCTACGGGTACCCCCACATAATAGCCCTTGCGAACCCATGTGTACCCCCATTGGATAGCCGTTGAGGACCTACGGGTACCCCCACATAATAGCCCTTGAGAACCTATGAGTACCCCCATCGGATAGTTCATGAGGACCTATTGGTACCCCATAGGATGGCCCTTGAGGACCTACGGGTACCCCCATAGGATAGCCCTTGGGGACCTACGGGTACCTCCACATAATAGCCCTTGAGGACCTATGGGTACCACCCTAGGATAGCCCTTGGGGACCTATGGGTACCCCCACATAATAGCCCCTGGGGATCTATGGGTCCCCCATAGGAGAGTCCTTGAGGACCTATAAGTACCCCATACATAGTCCCTGGAGATCTCCCCTTATAGCCTGATGTGACCTTTAACCTTTAACCTTTAACCTTTGACCTTTGACCCTTGACCTTTGACCCGGCACAGACACACACACGCACACACACACACTGAACATTATATATATAGATGATGTTTTTTCATCGAAAGTTTGCTACTAATTGTTCCATAATCTAGGAATCGGATCAGTTCATCCCCGCACCGGTGATGTGTTGGCCTTCGTTTTCAATTGGGCAAATATATTCATACTTCGACCATCGAGTCTTGCTATTCTTTCTCTGACATTTTCGACATATTTTTTATCAGGAGTTATGGACAGTAAGTATAAAACTATCGACTTGTGACTCTCTTTTCATTTAATCAATCTAGGTTGCGGTCCACCAATCGAACTGGTCAAAATGTTGGCAGTCTTTGTACTCGGTTTGTTAAATAGTTCACTTCCGTATCTTGTTCTCTTTTGGTTGCAACTTGCCAGTGTATGATGATTTAGGTATCCTCGCTGTTATAAATGGACTCAGTGTACGGACAGCCAATCGACTAAATATTGTCTTTGTTGCACTCAAAATTGTGACAGTTTCAGTAATTATAATTGGTGGCCTCGTACGTATCGGACAAGGTTTGCGAACACCAATCGAAATGAGAAAAATAAACTCTAAGTAGAATTTTTTATTTGAATTAGGTTATACTGAAAATTTAAAAAGTGGCTTTCATGGTAGTTAGCATTTTTTGTTGAAAAGATTGATAATTGTTTTCGCCTTTCCCTGCTGGAATAATTAGGTACAACAAACAATCCGTTGGGTGTTGCACTTGCCTTCTACTCTGGTCTTTGGGCCTATCAAGGATGGTCTAGTTTGAATTCAGTAACTGAAGAACTTAAAAATCCCAAAAGGTAATGGTATGTGAAAGAAATACACTAGGCTCAATTTACTGATTATTCGTTATGTTTGATAGAAATCTATGGTTGGCTATCGTAGTGGCTCTTTCATCAGTGATTATTATATATCTTCTAATCAATATATCGTATTTTACAGTGATGAGCAAAGCTGAATTGCTCAGCTCGGATGCTGTTGCTGTGGTAAATAACGGTCTAGTTATCTAAATAAATAATATATCAATGTATGGTTCAATCATGAATTTTCCCAATTAACCGAGCTTTAAGTCATTCTTAATACTGAAGATACCATTGGCGTAACCTATGATCGATTGTTTCAGGAAGTAGCCTATAGATACTTTCCGACTTGACTCACATTTAAATTAATGATCAAAATAATTTCGCACTTTCATAAAAGCCAACTGTTGAAGTACAATCCCTTGAAATAGCTAATTCCAACACTAGAACTAATAAATTTGCTCTAAACTTTTCACTTTTCAGCTGAAATTTTTGGGCCGAGAGAATTAGAGAATACGTCGATTAATAGAGTCTACTTTGTTCTACTTAAAAAAATCAATCAAGCCGGAGGTGATCACCTTTGTCCAAGTATTAGTATTTATCAAAACATCAACCAGAAACAGAAATAATGATGAAGAAAATTTATTGTGTTTCGACTTCAGTGACATTCCAAATGCATTGTTTAGAATTTTTCATATGGCATTTGAAAGTACTAGATACAGAGAAGACACATGTACAATGTTCTAGACCAATTTCAATCAATTCTGTAAAGTACAAGAATACTGTCCAAAGATACCCCACTTATTTTACTTGGGATAAGTTTTGAGGCAGCTGTTAGAAATTTGGAACTTCAAAATTACATAAATTCTAAATGATTATGTTAAAATACAGACAATGACGCATGTGATAGTCTATTTGTATACAATTAAAAAAAATAGAAGAACACTATTTTCTTGTGAAACTCAATTCCACCATCGTTAAGAATATTAATTTCAGAATTGTTACACTTGGAGGTATTTTAGCGGTTCTGAAAGAAAAAATAATAAAAATAGACTGTCGCATGCGCCATAGTCTGTATTTTAATATGACCATTTAAACTTTATGTACCTTGTAAATCCCGAACTTCTAACAGCTATCTCGAAACTTATCGAAAGTAAAGAAATTCTTCAATGAAATTGATCAGTTTTTCTCACTTGAAGTCCTCTGGAGGAAAACGTAACATGCCACAATAAGCAGTTTGTCGAACTGCACACACTGGTAACCCATATGAAAATCTTCTCCATTGTAAGCTAAGTATAAGCGGCTTATAATAGCTTATATTTTCGCTTTAAAAGCGGTTATCAGTGATTAAAATATTAGTGACAGCTCTTACAAGTGATGTGTGATAGCTGAAAAAGTTAAAGTTTAAGCCCTTACAAGAACTTCAACTTATCTATTGAACCGCAACTGATAAGCACTGAAATGTTGCAAAAATTCAAGTGCTTTTCAGCTACCTGAACCCTAAACGGTTACAAAGCGCTTAACAGCTACTACAAGCTATCTAGAAGAGCTTTCGCAAATATTTCAATCGTTGATAAGCGCCTAACTATGCTTCAAGTACTTTTAAGTGACTTAGCATGTGCGCTCACAAGTTACTTTTTAAGCGAAAATATAAGCTAGCTTCGTTATTTAAAATTTCGCATGGAATGCATTCCGTTCGAAACTGAGAATCACATTTGGGTATGTTGGCTCGTTCATTAGATTTTGTCTTTCGAATATGGTCGCATGTACGCACGATGTATTCACTCGAAATATCAACCTTTAATAAATATTCATTCGATATTTTTTTTCACGAATATTTCCAGACATGGGGAGTTGCTGTATTGGGTCCAGCTGTCCGTGTTTTGCCATTTTTGATATCATTGAGCGCATTGGGTAGCGTCAATGTATCGACTTTTAGGTCTGCTCGATATGCTATGGTTGGCGCACGTCATGGATATTTGCCTGAAGTGTTTTCTTATATTCAAAAACAAAGATTAACACCATTACCCGGTATTATACTTCAGGTTCGTTGCAAATCAATCTATTTATCGATTGACAAATATATATTTATTGCCTTTATTTCTTAAGACTATTCTTACCATCATCTATTGTATTCCAAGTGATATTGAGGATTTGATTGATTTTTCCAGCTTTGTTGTTTGGGTCTTCAATGGACTAACATTTGTTGCTACAATATGCTGTAAATTTACGAAACCTAATGCATATCGAGCTATTAAAGTATGTTTGTTTTTCATTTTATAGACTGTAATCAAAAAAATCTTATGCTTTTATAGGTTCCGATACCTGTAATTATTTTTAATATACTTATTAGTATCTATCTTGTTATTGCACCCGTTATATCTCGTCCACATATTGGCTATCTTATTGCGACAATTATTTTACTTCTCAGTTTGGTATTCTACTATCTATTGGTTTTTCGTAAAATACAGCTGAAATTCATGAGTAAGTTTAATGCACTACGTAACTATTTCTTTGCTCACGATGAAGTTTATTTTTGTTTTAGAAAAAGTAAACATGTTTTTTAAAGTATTTTTCGATTTAACAGAAGCGGGTATTAACACTGAAGAATAGTTGTATTTGAAAATCTATACTAGACTTATTGGAACTTGATTCAATAAAGTATTAAAATATCTAGATAATTGACTAGTGCATGTTTTTGATACTGTGTTAGGTGATAGATTGGTGATAATTTAATTAGCATCCTAGGGTATGTGAATGTGTGGGAGTGGGGGTGAAGGTGTGTTTCATCTAGCAATCATGACTTCGATTTCATCCTCGCTAAAGGACTTCGGATGGCTTCGATTCAGTATCTATTCAACGATGATCCGGAAATAACAAAAAAGGGTGTCGGTTTGGGGTGTGGGTTCAATCAATGGTCATCCAAACAATACTCACACTCTTGTTCATATTTATATTGTTAAACTCTTCACCTTTGATGCAATAAATATTGCAGTGTCTTGATTGTGATTGCTCAATGAACTAATTTTATAAATATATCTGGTTGAAATTATTTTTTTTGCAGAAAATGTAGCCGTTTTAATTCATACAGCAGAATATAGTTATGCTTCAATGTGAAAAATATCAAGATCATACTATGTTACATAAAAATAAAGGATACAAGATTGATTATGACACTGAGCAGCTCAAGCATCGTAGAATCCAATGTAATCATGAAATCATACAAGTGAACAAAACCAAACTATAGTCTATATTAAAATTTACAGTTAGACACTGACGTATCAATAATACAGCTTTAGTGGGATTAAAATAAATTCAACCAAGTAATACGATTTTAACAATGCTGTCAGGGTAGACTAACATTTTTATATTGATGGAAGTCTACTTGAAAATTATCTCATAATCCATTTCGAATAATAGGTTTTGATATTTCTAGGAATATAGAGTGGTTTCGGCTACATTTGTATAGAATTTGAGTTGAAATTCTCGTAAAATTTGATGAAAATAGACAGCGAAAAAATGTCAGTTTAAAAGCATCCATAAAAAATCTCTTTGAACTCAGTGAGTCTTGCACATGATAGGTATTCCTGGTATCACCCTTTTCCATGGTGAAAATTACAGATCTCTATTACTTTTTGTCCTCGAGTTATTCAAAAAATAGTCACATGCATCGGCTTTTCGAATGACAGTAGGAACACAAAAAAGCCCTGTTTTTCAGTACATTGTTGCTAATGTCCATTGGAAAACTTTTTTTCGATATAGGTTTTGCTATAGTATACCTGAAAGCTAATGAGGCAACCTCCTTAGATGCATCCTTTTGATTTCAACGCTTTTAGCCTTTAGATACTACATAGCGTTCTAATAAAAAACCTAAAAGTATTTGAGTTCCTATTGAGTATTAATTAAGTTATTGGCTATGGACTACATGTATTTTCTAGAGAACCTAAATTTTTGAAACAACTCGTATTTTCGAATTTTGATTTGAAACCTTGTACATACAGCGAACTTAACTATACTAGCCCACTTTTAAAAAAATTCGGAAGTGTTGAACGAGATCTTGTCGAAATATGAACCTTTCAAAATGTGCGTATTGTATGCACTAGAGATGTGCACCACGCCTGAAAAACCAGGCACGAGGCAGCTGTTCTTAATTAACTGGAGAATATTTTTGCTTTTTCTCGATGTTTTTCACTAGCTTATTCCACCAATGTTTGTGAATAAATAATAGTTCATTTATTAACATTTACGTATGAACAGCAATATAACATAAATAGAACCAAAAAAGTATATTGATTTTCCTAATTTAACGCGACTTATGTCCATTGTTATGATAATGGTTTTGTGTTAATTATTTACACGCATAAATTCAGGCAAACTGTAGCCTAAGATATTTTTAATCGGTACAACTCGTCGATAAATACATTCCAACAGCAAGTAGAGATCAAACAAGGAGATTTACGGCAGTAGTAAGGGATAGAGCCGAAATTCTATTCAACTATAATGATAAATTATGCTAATGAAACTAACAGTCGGAGTGAACAATTTATCTAGTATGTGTAATAAAAATAGTAGCTAAAGAAAAAAATTTATAAAGGCATAGCCTGAAACCTGTATAGTAACACTAAAATTGTATGACAATGAAAAACCATTAACCAAAAGGATCTTTTCGTAGGTGTCGATCAATAGGAAAGTCTTATTTTTCATCTAGTAGAATAAGAAAGAATGGACATAGGAAAATATAAACTAATTGAATTCTAGTTCTAGACAAAACTCAGCGGTATATGTCGCAATTCGGCGCGAGAAATCATAGAGTACACAGTAGCTTACTGGGCGATAAAATCAACATATATAGCAGACAAGTATGGTAGTTGAACCAATGAAACAAAGAGTAAAACGTTGTTTGCTGTCTTCTGTACAATATCTCCTATATATATATATATCATCATGAGGAAAAATGAATTTACGAATTGAAGATGTATTTGATGATGCAATCGAGTTCTTTTTACAGTATAACCATATTAAACGAATCATATACATTGGTAGAAAAAGAGTTACGAACATTTACGACATGTTCGAATTGCAGAGTGCGCGTATCAGCTACAAACATTGTTACAATTGGCATTTACTCATTTATTTAAATTAGTTTTGCATACATTGTTGCTTCACAGCATTAAAATTGATTTGAATTTTTGTCGGTTCCAAGTTCAAGAAATTTTTATTGAAAATATGGTCAAAACACGATCACACGAATGTGCCTGCACCGCACTGAACATTTCTCAAGCAGGACAGCTGCCTCTACCTCGCGTTGTACCATAATACGAGCACTGCACGTCTCTGGTACATGCTATTCATCAAAAAGATGTACACCTTGAAAATTTCAGACATTGCAGAGACTTTTTTCAAAACATTTTAATTTTTTTATCACATTTTCTTTCGTCGACTAAGGACTTTTTTCATTACTTTGATATCACTAGCAAATATTTGCTGTCGAACACCCACGAAATAAGAGTAGACGTCATGCAACATAGTGAATAAGCAAAACAAAAAGTATGATAGAATATGTTTTCTTTCATGATGTTAAGATTCTGATAAGAACTCTAATCATCAAATGTATATAAGTACGACAAACACCTTCATCATGTCATACGAGGAGACTGTAACAACACAACAGCATGATTCGCCGACTTCAACTGATATTATTTGTCTTATGTGTCTTTCTTAATCAATATTTAGTACAAGCGACTGTATATCCATGTAACAAGGCAGCTCCATGTGGTTGTTCAAAAAATTCAGTCTCTATTAATGCCAGAATTGTCGGTGGTGAAGTAGCTCCTAGTCATAGTTGGGGTTGGGCTGTTTCATTGCAGAAGCGACCCAGCAGACACTTCTGTGGTGGGTCGATCCTCTCCCCAAAGTATGTGCTTACAGCAGCACATTGTGTTGATGATATTTATCTTTCAATAGACCAATTAACAGTTGTTGTTGGTAGAGACAATCTCCTTGATAATATTGGACAAAGAATAGTCGTATCAAAAATTTATGTACATCCACAATGGATTCCAAATACATTCAAAAACGATATTGCTATTCTTGAATTATCCCGAGCAATCTCTTTTGGAGATAATAATATTGCTAAACTTTGTTTACCATCTTCATATGGCATGGAAGCAACTGATTTTCCATTGATGAAATCAAAACTTGTAGGTATCGGTTGGGGAACTACAATGACAAATGGGTTCATATCAGACAAACTTAGACAAGTAACAGTCGAAGCTGTTGGTAATCAAGAATCCAAATGTAGCAATTCTATTACAAATAAAACCACACAATTTTGTGCAGCTGTCAATGGTGGAGGCAAAGGTAATTAAGTGTTATCATTACGAGATAAAAACACCTAATCCTATTTCTTATCTATAGATACATGTCAAGGTGATTCAGGTGGTCCATTGATGTATTACTCAGATATTTACGAACAATGGATGTTGGCAGGCATAACATCTTTCGGTAAAGGATGTGGACTAAGTATTCATGCTGGTGTTTACACCCGAGTTAATATGTATATCGATTGGATTCAATCGATTGTTGGTAACGATGGCATAGTGATGGCCGGAGAAAATACTGCTACTTTTAGTACTATGCCAAATGGGTTGACTACATCATCTGAGTCAACTATGTCATCGATTTCAACGATGTTTTGTATTACAACACTTGTATTTTTATTAATAATGCGTTCTTTTTAATCCAAAATAAAATTTTATACTTATTTTTTTTAATAACTACAACTTTCAATTATGCTGACAAAATAATGTTCTCACAGATTTTCAAACCTTTTTTCATCGAGATGATATTCATTTGATGAGTACTAGTGAGTAATAGACAACACTTTTATGATTTGGTTTCCCGAGCCGTCTTACACTGGAATTTCCACTTCAAACTTAGCATGAACAAAGATTTTAATCAGACTAGTTGATTGTGCAACTTTTATCTTGTCTATGATTTCCTTTCTAGAGATGTGAATAAAACAGGATTCAAGAATAATTGTCGCTCAACATTCAAGCTTTCGAGAAGTCTTTCTGCTGTATTTCACATAGGCATTACTTGAAAACCCTATCGAAGGATATTTGGTGGATATGGATAACAGTACCAAGCAAAAGTCAGTCTTAGGCATGGTTCAGTAAAATGAAGATATCTGATATATTGATCACTGAAGGCTTTTCGACAAGCTTACTATTGATTTCATACTTCCGAAGATACATACATTGTTGAGCAACCAAAGTGACTTTTCTTACAAAAGTCTTTTGTGTGTGGTATCTGCTACAATATTGCAATGTCAGGGTGTGGGTGTGAGGTGTGTGCAGGTGTGAAGTGTGCGTGTGAGGTATGTGCAGGTGTGAAGTATGCGAGTGAGGTGTTGGTGTTGCTATAGGTGTGTCACCTGCTTTCGTCCTTACACCCTTCTTAACCCAACCAACTCTCAAAGATTACGCTTCAGTTCGATATACTTTTTATATTAAAATGATTTTCTTCATTCCATGCAAACATATACTACGAGTCGTATCTCTTTAATTGAATATGTAAAAATTCATTTCAGCTATTCATAATAGACATTTGATATGCATCCTCACAACAGTGTTCTTTAGCTAATATAATTCATTGGATGATAATACATAGAAATTTGCATTTCATGGACAAAAAGAATTTACAAACTTAATTTGTTTTTGCAGTAGTTTTGTGATCCATTTTTCTATACACATTAGATGTTAGTGAAATCGAATAACTGTTGCCCATGCTAGGATATTTGCATATTGTGTTCGATTTGTCTCGTTAAGAATACTGGGCAGTTATTCTTCACTATAAATTGTCAATTCTAAAATATCGTTTACATTAACTTGATACCATCCTGAATGAGAACCTTGATCATTCTTCATTACATATCCATGCATGAACCATTCATGCATTGTATATTTGTCATCAAAGTGTCGACCTATCAATGGTTTGCTCTTACTCCTAATATACATTGAAATGTTGCTGCTACCTTTCTCTAATTTCAGTCAAATTAGATGGCTTTCCGTCGAATACATCAGCGTTCCAAATACATATTGCCAATCAATGTTAACAATATTCTCACATATTTGATCATTATCAGTCAATCGAATAGCAGAACTACTGACTGTTCCAAAACGTTCCTTGTCGTTCTTGTGATTGTACGACATTAGCAGCACTAGTAAAAGCACCTCATTCACTATCAATATATTGGTGATTGAAATTCAATTGATGAACAAATTCTAAAAAACAATTTCTTAGATCAAATAAGTAGATTGAAGTCATGTTTTATAGATGAATCTGATCAAGTTCGAAGTCGATTTAGAAGAAACTTGAATAACTACAAACAAATAATATCAACATGTATATTTTTATATGAACGTTGCTCATCTTGCTACTATCGATTTTGATTCATCTCATTGTCGCCGTGCTGCTTCTTATTGTTTCAACTTGTCATTGTATTATTTTTTTATTGTAAACTTTTTTTTTACCTTTCAAAGACAGCAAGAGCCTGATCAAAACCTTTTTGTACTTCATTGGTTCAATTGTGAAATTTTACAGAGCAACTTACTAGTTTTGAGTTTTCTGACTTCATATGTGCTCGGAAAAATAATCAAGAAGAGCTTCTAAGTAAACAATATCTTTTTTCCTTTAACGTAAAGGAACAATGAAAAATCAGAAAAATCCTTGTACCATAACGTTATCATATCCAATGTATGGTAACACTGATATACGACACCCTTGTATGCTTTTAAAAAGAGATCTTTACATTGAGGGTGCGAAGCAATATACTAAGTTCACTATACACAGCAGTTGCAAGAAGGCACACTATCACGTAAAAATTAGAGTTTGACATGTTTTGTTTGTGATCAAACTATGAGAAAATAAGATTGAAGTTTAGGTACTTGTTACCTAGTATCGAGACCTTTTGCATCCACCATATCATTATAGTTAAGAACCATCCATAAAGGATGTCCAGGTGAAAATCGCATTTTTTGGCTTCTCCTTGACCTTTTCGGGCGTTCAGTTTTCAAGAACATTTTTATCAAGAAAGAGCCCATTTATTCCAATATACTTTTCTTTTCTATGAAAAGATTGATAAATATGATCTATTCATAGATGGTGATTCATAGAATTATGAGAAGTTGTTCTATTCGAAACGCGATTGAAAACTAATTTACCCTCTTTTGAAAATATCTGAAGTTAACTGATTATCGCTTGTCTGCATACCTTTTGTGAATGGTTTCTGATGATTCTTTATAGAGGAACGATATAACATCAAAGTTAAGAAATTTGTCATCCAAAACTTTATTTTTAGATCAGATGTAATTACAAGCGCACTTGAATATCAATCGTACTACTTTCATACACTAGCATGATCAATTCGTTCGTCTACATATATATATCTTTTTATTTCTTTCGTTGTACAAAAGAGAAGACTAGTCTCTCTTATGAACACACGTTTTCAACTGATCAATCACTTTCTCGACACAATCTATTGAAAGATAGGTTATCAATCATATCGATTTCGAATATGATCATGAGAAATTCCATCAGGCTTTCATATGCTGATTTTCTAGAGAACTGGTGCTCCCGACAAACAAAATTTTCGTCAAATAAACTTTTTCATCTGTCCTAATCATAGAGCGTATCGAATTCGTTAGAAAACAGTAACTTTTTCTGTTTCAAATTGTTTTGCTTTTACAAGAAATATAGTCGTTCTAACTCATACAGCAGAATATAGTAACATTTTCAATGTGAAAATCTTCACGATGATGTTAGGTTATTTAAAATTCATTTTTTGAAAACAGAAAAGAGGATGATCTTGTTTACAATTTGATGTACTCTATAATTTGAGTGGGTTCAAAACGATTTTCCCAAAATGTTTCTGAATGTGAAAAACTAAAATTTAAGGATTTGAGAGAATTTCTTATGACTCTATGCGTGAAATTCCAAAGAATACAAGGCTGATTATGACACTGAACAGTTCAAGCTTCGTAGAATCCAATGTAGCCATGAAATCATACAAGTAAACACAAACAAGCTATGGTCTATATCAAAATTTACTGTTAAACATTAATATATCAATAATACAATTCTAGTCAAGCCAAAATAAATTCGTTCAAGTAATAGGCTTATATCAAAGCTGTCAATCTATGCTGACATTTTTACATTGATAGAACTCTACTTGAAAACAATGTCGCTATTGATTTCGAATATCAGGTGTTGCTGTAGACTGAGTTGTATTTCGAAGAGTTTCAAAAGAAATGATATGAATAACTAGAAAGTGCAATAGGCAGAACAATAAATGAAAAAGAAAGGAAACTAGTTATAAATGCAGATTAATTTTTTTTCAGAAGAAACGAACATGAAATCAGTAATTGAATCAATTGAACTAATTCTTTTAGTTTAGTATGTGCCTTCAGGACAATCCATTGGGAAGTTGCGGATCCTTGCAGATCCGAGCCGGCATTCAAATTTTAATTGATTGTTGAGTTAAAATTCATAAAAACATGCACCCGCGGCTTCCTACAGGCGCTGTCAGTTCAAGTGTATGGCTTGGCATATTGGTAACTCAGACTTGTATTTATCTATCTTAATCATAGTATGCTATATTAGAAGTCTTATTTTTCGCTATTGATGCAATTTATTCATATATCTGACTAGAGATAAAAATAAAAGCAAAAAAAAGAAAAGAAACGAAAAACTAGTATTAAACTAAGCTACAGCGTTGTTTTATTCGTTGTACAATATTCATAATCATTTTGATGTTTTGTTGAAATTGAATGATTAATTTTTGAATATTTGTACAATTCTTCTGGCTAAGTTCTTTAAGTAATTGAATTAAATTTTTTAAAGCTTCACATAATTGTCTTGTGAGGTGAATTAATGATGTGTCTATTTGTTGTACATGTTCATGAAGTGTTTCAAGTACAAACACAAGTTTATGTCCTGCAACAGTAAGTGCTTTACCTTCAGTTATTAACAATGAAATTTTATGTCGATTTTCTAATAAATACGAAAAATGTTTAATTATTGAATTAATTTGTTCATTAATATGTCTATAATAACATTTAATTAATGGATTTTTTGAATAAACATCATTGATATATTCACAATCATTTGATTTACTACATGAAGACGATGATAAAAAATCTGAAAAACATGTTTTCGAAGTTGTCATCTGTGTTTGGTGATTTTTATTATGAAAATTTCTATAAATTTGTGCTGTTGAGAAGAATGTATTTATTTTTTCATTTGGAATTTCTGCAATTGGTTCGAGATGAAGTTTTTTAAATATATCATTTGATATAGATGAATTATTATAAGATTTTTGTTTTAATCGTAAATCAATAATTGATTTTATTAATTGAATTATTTTTGTTGATAGTTCAATTATTTGCTTTTTCTTACTTTCTAATTTATAAAGATAATTTTCTTTAATTAATCTATATGTATATCGATCTAATAAACAACCATACTGATGAAGAAATAAATAACATTCAGTTATAAATGAATGAATAGTTGATTCAATATTTGTTTTTAATATAAGTTGACAATATTTATCAATAAGTAATGAACGTACAGATAATTTTTGAAAAGAATTTTGTAATTGATCAAGGTCAACTAAAGATAAATCATGCAATAGTTTATCTGGTTATTATCAATAAAACAGATCTGCTACATGTTCTTTACT